TTTACAGAAGGATTTAATGAAAATGACTAAACAATGAATAAAGTGAAAAATGAAATGATTTTTGATGGTTTATCTTAAACATACTCTACTACAATTCACACTTTTGACTATTAAATCATTAGCCAGGTTGAGGCTGAAGTTTTAAACGCAAAAACGTGTACATCGGACGTTCGGCGCCACTTTTCTGTAAGCCTAGAAGTTTGATAATGGTGTTTGGATAGTCAGTGGATTCATGCTTGACTTTCCAAACACCATTCTCAAACTTCTAGGCTTACAGGAAAGTGGCGCCAAATGTCCGACATACATGTTAAAACTTCGGCCTCAACCTCACTATTTTAGTAAATTTTCTTAAAGTTGCATTATTTTAGCACATATACTTATTCAAGTGGCTCTTAAGTGACACATCCCCAAGGTTGCAAAATTTTATATCATCAATGTTTAAAAAAATATACATTTAATTAATAGATATAGNCAACAAATTGTTTAGACTGTTAAAAGGGAAATCAGTGTTCATACTGGGATATTTTAAAGCTAGTTTTTGTCATTTCTTGTTTCTTGTGTTAATAATTTACAGCAAATTGATTAACATATGTCATTTTATAATGAAAGTTAGATGTACCCCTTCGATTTACGCTCGTACCCCCAGGTGTACATGTACCCCCAGTTGAGAACCACTGTCATAAAGGAAGACTACTGGTCAACTCAGCCGATCCAGGAGCAGTTTACTGACGTCCTATACAATGAGATCAGGAACCATCAGTCTAAAAGGTATATTATCTGTAGAATTGTAAACTCTCTCTCTTGGTTGTTTAGTTAAGTAGTTCTTTAGCTATAAGTAGCGGTAATCCGTCCTTTGTATCTAAACTTAGAAACTTAATGTATATTAAATGTTATTTGTTGAACCTGTGTCACTCTGTCTAATTATTCGGACACCTATCGACTTACTCACACCTCCCTACTCGATTTAAAGCCCTCCCAAAAGCCATCCTCAGCAAAGAGAACGGGCTTTGCCAATTAAGTGGCATTTCGGAAACAGCCCGTGCCCCCGGCTATCTCACACATACCACATTTCCTTAACTACGAGATTCAATTTTTTATCCATTTTTGTTTGCTCAAAATAGACATACATCTTTAGAATTAATAGTGTCTTACATTCACAGACCAAAACAATTAAGATTGTGAGCAGACCACATGATGCATTATGTGCCCCATATTTTTGATACATAATGCACCAATTATTATATTGATAAAATTGATCAAATTTAGATTTAATTTGATAGCTTCAATTTTAAGAACTATTACAAAATACTTCTTAAGATTGCTGAAAATTTTTGATAACTGATGATTTTAATTTCCATAGTTTCAAAATACTCAATGCGTAAAAGAAATATTAAATAAATTTGAATATGTATCTTTTATAAAACTCAAATATAAAATCTAAATGGATTTATACCAAGAAAATTTTATTATATTTTTATACTGATTTATATAATATATAATCATCATCATATTTTCTCTTTAAAGAACACCACTTTTTATGTAAACTTGGTTGTTATACAATTTATTAATATATACTCAAATTTTAACTTTAAATTGAATTTTTATTTCTATTTTTGTTGTATTTGTCACAAATTTCAAGAATAAGAATATTCTGTTAGAACTAACAAATTAGAATATCACTATTACAAAAGAATTTTTGACTTATTCCAAAACCACATCTTTTAATTCTTTTTTACTTCACAACTGGGTGCATAGATAGACACAGGGCATCTTTAACATCACTCCTTATTCAGGAATCTCTTACACACCAATACACGTTTCGGGCATACACCCCTCTTCTGTCGGCTTTTTCATTTAGACATATGCCTGAAACACATATCAATGTGCAAGATATTTCTGAATAAAGAGTGATGTTAAAGATGCCCAGTGTGTACCTATGCACCCAATTATGAAGTAAAGAAGAAAAAAAAATTTTTTCTTATAAACTAATAATTGTATAAATATATTTTACATTGTTTTTCTAAACAAATACCAGTATTTATCTAATATACTAAATAAATATTAATGTATTAAATAAATGCAAACCTGTGATGGCGAACAAATATATAGTCTCTTTGATTATGAAATGTTACAACTCTTCTACCATGAAACTGTGGATCATAATGAAAGAGAGATGCAACCATTCGACCAACTCTTTGACCAAGTCTTGTATTGAAATTGTTCAATATGATTTCTGGTCTATGTGAACTCCATTCAGCTTTCCTCTATAATGCAAATTTGTTTAACAGGAAGTTTTAAATATTTTCAAAATATTTTAAAGTACTTACCTTTATATTTTTACAGAACTTTACACCACTTAATCTAAAATAAGCTGTTGGTCCTTCTGGTAAATGTGTTACCAATAAAGCATCTTTTCTAGTCAAGGTTTACTTTTCTTTAATTATAATTAATAATTATTTATCAATAAGGTGTAATTAAATGAAATGGATTATATAAAAATTAAATTAAAGTTTTTAGTAGTTTGATATTAAAATAGATGTAATAAATATATATGCAGCCTATTCAGAGTGCTATATGAGCTTATTATGCCAACAACTACCAGATTATATTGGGCTATATATCGTGATTACTTTAAATTAATTACTAAATAATTTCCCACTAGAGGGAGATGTTAGATGCCATCTCTTATTAGATTTAATAATTATAATTAAATTAAATAATTTAGAAAATTCTGGAAAAGAATTGGCCGAGAGCAAATCTTGAACCCGCAACTGCCATGCAGATTGTTGCCAGTTATGCTACCTGAGCCTCTAGTCCAACCTCCTCTTCCAGATATATTTAAACATGAGATAACCATCGTTGGTTACAGGTGAGTGTTTACAGGACATGGACACGAATGCATCTCCAGCTGGCATTTGACCCATTAAGTTCTTTTGAATTTAATTAACTGTTATTTTCTTTTATTTTTGTTAAAATAAAAGTTTGATTTACATTGGCACTTTGTTGTTAATTAATGCAAACAATGGACGTTATGAGATATTTAACAATAGTTGATCAGAATTCTTGCAATTGCTAATGTTAGGCATTTCCTAAAAATGCATAAAAATTCAGAAGTATTTCAATTTTCTTCTGATCTTAAAGATTCAAAATGCTTGGTGTTACTCCAAAAAAAATAACTACCTGTCTTATCTAAAGTATTATAGTATTATGTGCTAAGAAAGTGCAATTTTTTCCTCTTCATAGCACCACAATATATATTCATCAAAATAATAACTATTACTTCACTTCTTGAAGTAATAACTGTTATTATTTTGATAAATATTTGCATTAATATTAATGTTAAATAATGTAATGAATATTTAGATTTCATTATGTTTATTAGAAAAGGAAATAAACTGCAATGGTTTGATCTTTCTTCTACTTTTTAGCCAACATAGCAATAAGCCATTATCTTACATATTCAATAATTTTACCATTTCATAACATCTTATTTCTTCAGTGTTTCATATTATTGTATTAATAATCTTTTTATACTCAATGAATTACTTACTACTCAACAGTTATGCTGAACTAGTTACATATCATTCTCTTGTGCCTTCTACAATTAGCTTTCATTCATAATACAAAGAAACATTTTAGATTCTATATATATATAATTTATTTTTGGAAAAAATCACCTTATTAACCAGTAAATAAGTAATCATTTTGTATATTTATTCATTTTTCTAATCAGGAGTCATGGCAGTGATTCTCTGCCAAGTAAAAAAGTCACTGACTGACTATATATACAGGAATCAGAGTTGCCGACTTTTTAAGGGTAGATTTCTCTGCCCCCAAATACCAGGGGCCGTATTCTGGTCACTAATCTCTCATCTCTTCTTTCAGAGACAAATGATGTCAAAACAAGAGAGGAAATTTGTCTCTCAGACAGTGGCGATTCTAATCACTTTTAACAATCTCGTCTTTGTTGTTGACGTCATAATTCTGCTAGGTTGACTGTATATGTTTGTGTTAGATGCGCACGTAACACAGTATAGAATTTTGACCAATGAAATTGTAAAGTTTTAAAAAATGCAGAGTATGTAATTATAGATGGTAAGGAAAGCACGCATTCAAATAAAGCACATGATTTTGACAAAGTTATGGTTTTTGTTTTATAATGTTATTACAGATTGTAATGTCAAATTGTCTCTTAAGAAATAAAAATTTTAATAACCTAAGTTAGAAAAGTGTGTGTACTTAGTTAAGGAGAAATTAGATGGTAATATTTCAAAAAATACTTAGAGAGACAGATAAAATTAACATCATATTCAATAGTTCAGTAATTGATGTAGGATAATTATAAAAAAAAAATGGAAATCAGTGGTGTTCCCAAGTAGGCACTGGAAAAAATCATAAGCATTTTTTCTCTCTCGAAATATTTTTTCCCAAGATAGAGAATGTTCTCTAATACAATTATACAGCACAAATAGCATACAGCCGTCCGTAAACTTGGTTGTTATACAATTTATTAATATATACTCAAATTTTAACTTTAAATTGAATTTTTATTTCTATTTTTGTTGTATTTGTCACAAATTTCAAGAATAAGAATATTCTGTTAGAACTAACAAATTAGAATATCACTATTACAAAAGAATTTTTGACTTATTCCAAAACCACATCTTTTAATTCTTTTTTACTTCACAACTGGGTGCATAGATAGACACAGGGCATCTTTAACATCACTCCTTATTCAGGAATCTCTTACACACCAATACACGTTTCGGGCATACACCCCTCTTCTGTCGGCTTTTTCATTTAGACATATGCCTGAAACACATATCAATGTGCAAGATATTTCTGAATAAAGAGTGATGTTAAAGATGCCCAGTGTGTACCTATGCACCCAATTATGAAGTAAAGAAGAAAAAAAAATTTTTTCTTATAAACTAATAATTGTATAAATATATTTTACATTGTTTTTCTAAACAAATACCAGTATTTATCTAATATACTAAATAAATATTAATGTATTAAATAAATGCAAACCTGTGATGGCGAACAAATATATAGTCTCTTTGATTATGAAATGTTACAACTCTTCTACCATGAAACTGTGGATCATAATGAAAGAGAGATGCAACCATTCGACCAACTCTTTGACCAAGTCTTGTATTGAAATTGTTCAATATGATTTCTGGTCTATGTGAACTCCATTCAGCTTTCCTCTATAATGAAAATTTGTTTAACAGGAAGTTTTAAATATTTTCAAAATATTTTAAAGTACTTACCTTTATATTTTTACAGAACTTTACACCACTTAATCTAAAATAAGCTGTTGGTCCTTCTGGTAAATGTGTTACCAATAAAGCATCTTTTCTAGTTAAGTTTTACTTTTCTTTAATTATAATTAATAATTATTTATCAATAAGGTGTAATTAAATGAAATGGATTATATAAAAATTAAATTAAAGTTTTTAGTAGTTTGATATTAAAATAGATGTAATAAATATATATACAGCCTATTTAGAATGCTATATGAGCTTATTATGCCAACAACTACCAGATTATATTGGGCTATATATCGTGATTACTTTAAATTAATTACTAAATAATTTCCCACTAGAGGGAGGTGTTAGATGCCATCTCTTATTAGATTTAATAATTATAATTAAATTAAATAATTTAGAAAATTCTGGAAAAGAATTGGCCGAGAGCAAATCTTGAACCCGCAACTGCCATGCAGATTGTTGCCAGTTATGCTACCTGAGCCTCTAGTCCAACATCCTCTTCCAGATATATTTAAACATGAGATAACCATCGTTGGTTACAGGTAAGTGTTTACAGGATGTGGACACTGAATGCATCTCCAGCTGGCATTTGGCCCATTAAGTTCTTTTAAGTTTTTTTGAATATAATTAACTGTTATTTTCTTTTATTTTTGTTAAAATAAAAGTTTGATTTACATTGGCACTTTGTTGTTAGTTAGTGCAAACAATGGACGTTATGAGATATTTAACAATAGTTGATCAGAATTCCTGCAATTGCTAATGCTAGGCATTTCCTAAAAATACATAAAAATTCAGGAGTATTTCAATTTTCTTCTGATCTTAACCTTTCAACAGTGGAATAGTCAGGTATGGTGCTACCCCTTAGTAGTGGAGAATAAATGTGCAACATTTTTAGAGTATTTTTCCACGTGTTTTTTCATGTTACTGTTTTGGAAAAATATTTTGTAAACAGTTATGTTTAGTAAAGTCTTTTTTTTATTGTTACATAATTCATTTTTTATGTGAATTTTTTTTCCTGGTAGTGTTTGGTGATACCCCCAAAAGAATTTGACATATACGTTCCTCACCACTGCCACACAATCGCCCTTGCTGAATATATTCATCACTCACTGATGAGTGGTTAAAGATTCAAAATGCATGGTGTTACTCTAAAATTTTAGAACAGTCAAAATTTAACAGTTTTTCTTTGGTAAAGATAAGCTTAGTGCTTTGAAGCAATAACCCACAAGATTTTTACCTGCATTATTCTTTTCTACATTTTCCTTCAAAATGCCANTATCAGTATTTATCTAATATACTAAATAAATATTAATGTATTAAATAAATGCAAACCTGTGATGGCAAACAAATATATAGTCTCTTTGATTATGAAATGTTACAACTCTTCTACCATGAAACTGTGGATCGTAATGAAAGAGAGATGCAACCATTCGGCCAACTCTTTGACCAAGTCTTGTATTGAAATTGTTCAATATGATTTCTGGTCTATGTGAACTCCATTCAGCTTTCCTCTATAATGAAAATTTGTTTAACAGGAAGTTTTAAATATTTTCAAAATATTTTAAAGTACTTACCTTTATATTTTTACAGAACTTTACACCACTTAATCTAAAATAAGCTGTTGGTCCTTCTGGTAAATGTGTTACCAATAAAGCATCTTTTCTAGTTAAGTTTTACTTTTCTTTAATTATAATTAATAATTATTTATCAATAAGGTGTAATTAAATGAAATGGATTATATAAAAATTAAATTAAAGTTTTTAGTAGTTTGATATTAAAATAGATGTAATAAATATATATACAGCCTATTTAGAATGCTATATGAGCTTATTATGCCAACAACTACCAGATTATATTGGGCTATATATCGTGATTACTTTAAATTAATTACTAAATAATTTCCCACTAGAGGGAGGTGTTAGATGCCATCTCTTATTAGATTTAATAATTATAATTAAATTAAATAATTTAGAAAATTCTGGAAAAGAATTGGCCGAGAGCAAATCTTGAACCCGCAACTGCCATGCAGATTGTTGCCAGTTATGCTACCTGAGCCTCTAGTCCAACATCCTCTTCCAGATATATTTAAACATGAGATAACCATCGTTGGTTACAGGTAAGTGTTTACAGGATGTGGACACTGAATGCATCTCCAGCTGGCATTTGGCCCATTAAGTTCTTTTAAGTTTTTTTGAATATAATTAACTGTTATTTTCTTTTATTTTTGTTAAAATAAAAGTTTGATTTACATTGGCACTTTGTTGTTAGTTAGTGCAAACAATGGACGTTATGAGATATTTAACAATAGTTGATCAGAATTCCTGCAATTGCTAATGCTAGGCATTTCCTAAAAATACATAAAAATTCAGGAGTATTTCAATTTTCTTCTGATCTTAACCTTTCAACAGTGGAATAGTCAGGTATGGTGCTACCCCTTAGTAGTGGAGAATAAATGTGCAACATTTTTAGAGTATTTTTCCACGTGTTTTTTCATGTTACTGTTTTGGAAAAATATTTTGTAAACAGTTATGTTTAGTAAAGTCTTTTTTTTATTGTTACATAATTCATTTTTTATGTGAATTTTTTTTCCTGGTAGTGTTTGGTGATACCCCCAAAAGAATTTGACATATACGTTCCTCACCACTGCCACACAATCGCCCTTGCTGAATATATTCATCACTCACTGATGAGTGGTTAAAGATTCAAAATGCATGGTGTTACTCTAAAATTTTAGAACAGTCAAAATTTAACAGTTTTTCTTTGGTAAAGATAAGCTTAGTGCTTTGAAGCAATAACCCACAAGATTTTTACCTGCATTATTCTTTTCTACATTTTCCTTCAAAATGCCAAACTTACCTTTACCAAAGAAAACTCCTAAGAAAAATGTTAACTGTTGTCTAAATTGTCATAAGTTTTTACTTAGAGCAATTTTTTTTACATGTCAGATGTTTTTGTTTGGATTTATATTTTTACTTTGATTAGATGAAAATTTATAATTAATAATAAATATCTTTAATTCCTCAGCATTCTGAACTAGTATTTTTAATCCTTTGAAGGATTGTTTTCAGGTTCAATATACAATGTAATTTATACAAATAATTTCTGTTTATGAACATTTATGAAGGTAAAGTTTTTAAAAGTTTTCACTATCTTTGAGAGACTCATAACAAAAATTTAAATGTAAAATTGAATACTTTAAAAATTCACATAATTATTAAATAATGAAATTGTACAAAAATAAATTGAACAGGTAGTAATGATAGTAAAAAACTATGACATTTAATATCATTATTTTGTTCATATAATTCTACTTTATAAATATACTTAAAAAAGAAAACCTGTTAATTCTAATGCAAAGACAGAAACATCACAAATTAACATACAATCATTGTATAGTAATAAATTTGGTAACTCAAACTGTTGTAATATAAATTGCTAAATCCAAGAATTTTTTAAAATTGATAGTGTAACAATTTGATAATGATTGCTATAACTTAACAATTAAATGACAGATCCATGCAAAGTGCTCAATATGAGCATTTGCAAGAACATTAGGAAATTTTAAATTTAAATAAAAAGTGTTTTAGAATTTAATAATAATATCTTATATAGAATTGTAACAGATCAAGCAATAGTTATAAACAATACTTAAAAGGATACTAGGATTTCTTTTATCTTCATTAATTACAATAATATCTGTAAATTCTTTTTTTATTGCCATTTTTATAAGATTTTTTATACTAAATTTACGTCTCCAATGTAAATGTGCATTAGGTATAGTTTGTCTTAATTCTCTAGCAAACAATAATGTTTTCTGAAAAATGCAATTTATACTATAAAATAAATTCATAACACTCATAACTATTTATATAAAAATTTATCTACATTTATGTAAACTATACCATATTAACTTACGGTATGTGGTTTTTCAGCTGTTGTTATCAAAATTTTCGGTACAACGTCTCTATTGAAATAATTGGACATTTCATCTGTATCTAAGTCATATTGAATCTAATAAGAAATAAGTTAAAATAATAAATATCAACTTTTCAATATAATTTCTATTTTTTTGAAATATAATATATTCATTAATTATCAAAAATGAGGTTATCAAATTAATTAACAATAACTGCATATAACTCAATTTACAGGTTATTAGTAAAAAATAAACCAGCAACATTTAAAATTTTGGTGATATTTTATTAAAAAACTTTTTATATTTTTAACTATTATAAAATGGCAAGAAACTTCATTTTGAGGGTAGGGATGAGTGTTATAAAAAAATTGTAAGTGCTAATAACAAGTAAATTTGTCATTAAGTCTGACCCTACTGGAGATACACACTATCCCCATTATCTCCCCACCCCCTTGATCTTTAACCACCAAAATTTAATAGCATCAATCCCCCTAATCAAGAAACCTCCCTGCAAAATTTCAGAAATTTTCGACAAAAAGCACAAGAGTTATTAAGCTTCAAATTGTGCCCCACACCCACACACACCCATACAAACAGAAATTACCCACCCAAATTTCTTTGCATTTCTTGACATTTCAAAGTGGCCTATGTCTAAAAATGTAAAAATCTTGAGGGAATCATTTTTTGACCAATCACCATACTTTTCCTCTGTTATATATAACAGTTGGCAAAATAATTAAAAGAAACATATATTTGTACTGTAAATATTAGATTAATTAAAGTTAGTTTGCTAATATATTAATGCTGATTTGATAATATATTCAGTAAATAAAGTATATATAATTTTAAGCATTTCATTAATAGTTCGTGTTTTTTAAATATATACATAGTAGTAGTAAAGTTTGTGATGAATAAAGACTTTATTTGGAATAAATACAATAGATTCCACTTATTGTAATCATAGATACTGCTTAAATTGTCTAATGTTATCAAAATTAGTAGGTCCCAAAACAATTAAATTAAAATAATATATTATTTATTATAATCAAGGATTGGCTATTGTAATCACTATCTTCAAATAAATAGGCATTTTTAAGATCTCTTTTTATGCCATCAATCTCAGCATGCAGCAACTAACAATTAATAACTTAAATGTTAATCATTTAACTGTTATTTGCTTCCAGTACAAATATTTAAATTATTAGTGTTTCTTATCATACTTTAATTATACTCTAGATGCTGTTAAAAATGGCATAGAAAATGCATAATCCTGGATAAATTATATATAAATATATAATAATTGTAAATATTGATATACAGTATAATCTCGGAATAGCAGACACTGTGGGGACTGAGAAGTTTGTCTGCTATTTAGAGGTATCCGCTATTTGGAGGCACATGCAGGTGGCCATATTATATTTAAACCTGGTCATTATAAATCAAAGAGTAAAATGAATTATAAAAATGTCAAATTTGCATTAATTAATAATGTGAATATACTGAAAAGTATACATAGCATATATAATTAAAATATATATACAATAATATATTATTTATTTTTTCAGCTGTAAAAATCTCATTTAAATTGATTCTCGTTTGAGTGTTGAGTTATGAAGGGGTGGGAAATATATTTGAAATTGTTACATTTATAATCTAAGCAACTAATAAAATTCAATGCAGGGATTTGTCTGCTTTGTAGTTATCAAGTAGGTGTAACTTTTCAAACAATTTTGCTTTTTTCAGTAACTAATTTATTAAAAATTACACTTTAGATACCAAAATGCTGTTAAAACAGTTACAACACCGTTTGCTTGGTGAAAGTTCAAAGGTCATGCTACAAAGGCAATTTGCTGACCACTTTAAAGTGTGGGAAGATATTCAGTTTTCTCGCATTTATGACGTCATTTATGATCTTAAGTTTCTTTTTCATTATTAGTATACTACAGTTCTTGTCAAATGAATAAATAACTGAAAAACTTTATAGTTTTTTTTGATATCATAAGCTTAATTCCAACAATAAGACATAACATTAATATGTATGACAATAAATGGTAATTGATAACTTAACCAGATTAAACTTCTCTAACAGATAAAGAATATTGTTTGACTTCTTATAACCTGCACTTCTCTCCTATTCCTATTTTAAGCCAGTCTTTATTTAACATCTACAGTTAAAATTTGTTGTCTGAAAAAGTACTGTATTTTAAACAATTCTTTGTTTTCATTTAGAATATTTCGTACATTATTCATTCTTTCAGAATATTAAAGGCAAGACATTGCATTTTCATAAGATTAGTTATGGACAATGGCATTATTTAGAGGTAAATATAATAGATGTCCTATTTGAAGGGTCTAGGGATTGTAAAAATGTCTGTTAAGTAGAACTGTCGGCTATTTGGAAGTGTCTGTTAATGAAGATTTTACTGTATTTTTAATTATAAGTAACTGTGTACAATAATAACTGTTACTCTAAGAACTAATCTAGCTATTAGTTATCAGGGATGTAATAGTCTTTATACAAATATATTTTAAAAATATACCTATTTTTATAATATTCACAATACATTTAACAATCTCTTCCACACCAGAGTGCTGCATTAACCGTTTGAGAATCATTGATGTAGGGAATACCAAAGCAATTATATATAACAAGTGGATTTTATTATATTTATTTATTTTTAAAAGAAAAAATACTTACCTCTTCATCTTCACCATCAACAAAAGTTTCATCTGGTTCTCTGGTATTTTCAATTGTCCTTGGTTCTTGTTTTGGAGGTGCCTTTAGAAGTTAAAAAACATTTATTTTTAAAAGTTAGAACTATTTTCAATAATAATAAATAATAATAATAATTCTTTCTCGGGTAAGCAGATTACAAAGTTCTTTGCATCCACACAAACACAACCATGAGTAAATCATCTATTAGACATTGCATACATTTATTCCAATGACAATCAAATGTAGTTTGACATAGACAAAAGCAAAACACTTCACATAAAAAAGAAATTTTGAAGAATAATGATTATATACTGTACTTGAAAATGAAGACATCAGTGAATCTGTGAATGATGGCAAAGTCTACAAATACTTAGGATTTTACACAAACAACATTAACAAAACATAATTAACACCATCCTAGATTGGACATCTGTTATCTTAATTGCTTAGCCATCCAGCCATCTTAAGTCTCTGATGGCTGGATGGCCAAGCAATTAAGATAAAACAACATGGGATCAAATCTAATGGGTTGAAAAACCACAGTAATTTTTTGGGAGGTGGTCCATCCAGATATACCAGGACCCATCCCTCACCACCCAGCTGCTTGGTAAATACTATATAAACACACCACAAGTTTATCGTTGACTTCATTATTATTATTATTTTGAAGCCTTATTTTGAGATAGGCCTTTATCTTTGCTAATAATAAAAAGCTCTCTGCTGATTTAATGAGATACACCTTTCAGAATTAAGACATAACTACAACTTAAAATAAAAATTTGGCTCAAAGTAACTAAATCAACTAATTGCTTTTAAAATAAAATGTTTTGTGTGCAATAAAAACAAAATGTAAAGAGACATTATTGCACTAAAGAGTTTTTAATGACAAACATAAAATCAACAATAAACACAAAAATATGACTAAATTGACACGAGGATAAACTATTTCAGAAGAAAACACGACGGACAAAAGTGAATTAAAAAAATACTTTGGAAAAACAAAAATTCAATTCAAAAATTTTGTTTAAACCCATTAATATATGTCAGAAACTGAAAGATGCTAAGTGGTAAAGTAGGCTACCTGCTTACTGGTATATCACTTGAAGTGCAATAATACAGTATAATATTTCTTGAATAAAGATGAAAACAAAAATAAAAATGAACAAAGTTTTTTTGACAAGAGAAGAAACTAAATTGTAACAACATTTTCCCTTTTTTTCCTTTTACTCTACCAAATGAGGCAAAGGTTTATAAAACTGAACATGTTCAGGCAATTTTGTTATTGGTATTGGTCCAGAGCAAAGAGCGATTAGATCATTGTACTTTTCCAATGACAATGGACGAGATAAGTTATTTAAGTCATTAAATTGTTTTGTCAACAGTGTGTATTTTGCCGTTTTAAAGTCAACGATCAATAGTTGTGATCAACATGGCTTGTTTTAAAAAATATTTTACATAATTCATTCTGCCTTATATTGAATTCAACAATGTCTGTCATTTAAAAGTTTTTCCCTCATCGTCAATTCAAATAGAATGTACTATAAGGTTCTCACTAAACTTTATAGTTTAAAAAATCATTATAACCTAAAGAGTGCACTATACAAGACATTCCCTTTCTTGCAAGACAAAAGACTGGTATAAGCTGAGAAGGCACAAACAATTCGCCAGCCTTTTTAATCACATATGAAATCTCACTGTGAGCGGAGTCTCCTTTACATTGTCCATGATTAGTGGTAAAGAAAGAAGACTCACTTCATCTAAGTGTTTCAAACTGCAAAACAATGTCCTGACACAATGGAATTCTAATTTTGTCCACCACAACCATCGGCAAATAAATTGGCAGTGCGGACCTTCCTTAATATAAGTATTAATTTTTCAATAAGACAAAATATATTAAATGTGGTGGTCATATGACTGAAAAATATGGCTGCATAGTGTTTTACCTCAAAACATTTTCCTCTGGTCGAGTCTCATTTCACTGAATTGGAGTAGGCAGAAAGAGAATTTCACATAATCTCCAGGTAACTTTGCAACAAAGAGGCATAAGTCTAGATATGTCTTTAAAATCATTTAAAAACACCGTGTTTATGGAATTGCTTGAGAAATGTCCCTAAGTTATAATATCAGATATTTGAGAAACACCCAGTGTTTATCATTTCATAGAATGCAAATGGTGTTACATAGAGATATTCCGCTCCATCACAACACGAAGAACCTAGGCTTATATTTAAAGGCATATTTAACTCATTTTAGCCAAATTTTGAGATACACCTTTATGTATTTTCACTGACAATATATCATATATATGTATCTGTACCAAACATCCACTGAAAAAAAAATTATATATGTATCTGTATTTTAAAGTCAACGATCAATAGTTGTGATCAACGTGTGATGAAAATTATATATGTATCTGTACCAAAAATACACTGAAAAAAAATTAGTAAATACTCAGAACTCACCCACAAAATAACACATCTGTGGACAATGATAAAGTACTTATCCATTCTTCTATCTTAATATAAAATTAATAGATCTATCTTGTATAGGCATCACGTCAAATACACTACAAAAAAGTCTAGAAACATTAGGACTGCACAACAACACATTACAAAAAACAGCTGTACTAAACACATCACGTAGGCAGAAATTATTAAATACAGATAAGATACATAAAATACATTTTAAAGGTGTATATTTTGCAAGAAATTATGAACCTATGACATATACAAGTTTGCAAACTGTAATTCATACCCAATCTTCTATAAATTACAAACAAATAAAATTTTTTTAATAAAATTTCATATTGAAATTTGTATTAATTGATACAACCACTATTTACAAATATAAAAGGATTTAGACAAATTTATTACACCATACACATAAAATTCAATTAACTATTCAATTATTGATTACAATTTAGTTTTTTTCTTAAAAGAATGACTTTGCTTTAATATTTTTATGCTAAATATGTAATTTTTAAATTACATTATCATTACTATTATTATTAAATCAATTAAAACAGATTTTATTTTAAAAATCTAACTTACATCATCAGATAAGAGTTGATATTCTTTCTGCCTTTTCTTTCGCAGTTTCTGCTTAACCTAGAAAATTCAAATTAAAATATTCCATTTTAAAATAATTTTTGACAATAGTAAAAATTAGAAATCAGAATTATTTTATATAATGAATTAAATGTATATTTTTTAACAGTTTATCAAAATAAAATCTGAATTAACCCGTCGGCACGTGCCTCGATTTTTAATTAGTGTAAAAATTCCAATTGTTTGAAAAATCTGAAGAAATTACTACTACTACCTGACTAATTTTCTTTAATTTTACTATGTGCAATTCAGTTTTTGCTTAAAGCATTTCATTATTTTTATTTAATAACTGGTGTCAAATTGACACTATGACATGATGATCTTGGATTTAAATTTTCAAATTTCCCGCCAGTTGCTGTTACTAAAAATAGCCGCAGCGACAGTGCGTGCGCATGCTTCTCCACTTATAATTGCATTATTTTACAGCAAATAACTTCTAAAAAACTCAAATTTGACCCAAAAATAATTTAATTTTTTCCATTGGTATTTTTTAATCATTTTATAAAGTTTTATGACACCATGCCCCATATAATTTTTGTATTTTTTTAATTTTATGAATATAAAAAAGCAAGCAACTGTAATATGTACTGTATATCTGTGCAGATAAGACGATAGTTGAATCATAAAAAATGCCCCCCAAAATCCAGGGTCATCTTATAGAACAGATACAAAAAAAATTAGATTGAAATTTAATTAAATTAAAACCATTATAAAATAAAACAAATCACTCACTAATGTATTTAAATAACCCATACGACATTTTTGTGAATAGTCAAGATCATTACCCGAATGCCCAAATCAGTGCGAATGTTTGCAATAATCACAAGGGAGTACTGTCAGATGCAAGAAAATAGAATTTGGTCATTCGAAAAATTATGAATAGGACGTAATTCCGTATACGCTATGCAGTATTATTATGTAGATGATGATTGCTGATCTAAACTAAATTCATAGGCCGTTGATAGTTTGGGTTCATCTTATAGGACAGATATATGCTAAAACTATAAAACTGACAAAAATTTATACCTTGTCTTATCTGCATAGATATATGGTAAATTAAAAAATTTTTGTTTATTAACAGCATCTAGGCACATTTGTATCCAGCAGATACATGTCGGTTTTTTTATTGAAATTCTTAAAAATAAAACAGTTGAAGTACAGGCTTTTTAGTATTTCTCACCTGATATGTTCTGAAGAGATTCCTACAGTAGTTTTCAAGTTTATGACCGTTTTTTTAGAGAAATTTTATGAAAAACAATACCTTTTCACCGCCTGCAGTAAATTCTCTCACAGCGTGTGTGCTGTACTCTTGCGATTATTATGAGCAACAATCGCAAGAGTAATTTAATAAAATAACTATGTAGAATATTTAACCTTTACCACAAAGCTATACATTATATCTTTTCTCCTGGTTTCAATGGCAGGACCAATCCCAATACATTTCAAATAAATCATTGCAGCTTTTTTTGACAACACAATTTCCTTGCTTCGGTGTTATTGCCCTGCTGTCTCACAATCAGTTGTATGATAAGAAATCTAATACTTTCAATCTTGCAACAATTAAAATTTATCTTCATAACGTAACAATACCATTTAGTAATTGTGACCCAAACATTTATTTGGTAATTTTATCAATATTTTTTAAAATTATTAAATATAAAATTATAGAATTCATTACTGGCAATTCTAATTGTCAAATTTGAAACAAAACATTCCCCTGAGTGCAAGAAAACAATTTGTTAGTTATTTAACCATTACTGACAGAGAAGGGAGTTTTTGAAAACAAAGTAATAAAAAAATTAGCAGTTTATTTATTGTACTTCATAGTGGAAACCAGCAGAGTCTATTACTTTCCTCAGAGAAAATAAACAAAGCTTCACTGCTCTGAATTTGAAAAATAATACAATCCTGTGAAATTTAACAAATCTGATATCAATAAGATAAAGGTGAAATTATTTATAGTGAGTTGATATTTGATAAGTTTAGTCCTTTGCATTTACAGATCAAATTACAGAAAATATAAACAAAAATTTCAATTTTTTAAACCCACAAGTATTTTATACTTTTAGATAGTAGAGAAAACGTATAAATTGAAAATATAATCATAGTCGAGCATATATATCACTAAAAATATAAAAATTGCATTAAAATAACACTCTGATGAACATCTCAGATGAAAAAGTAATTGAATAGAGCCCCACTGCCATATTGATTAATGTGCCACAGTAATTAATTAATTACTATGCATCAAATAAAATAATTTATAAAAATTAAAATAATAAACATGTGTATAAAATAATTGACTATATCTGTTTGCAATAATATTGTAAAACACACTGCACTTATAGCTTAGCATTTCTGATAATATTTAATTAATCTTTGAATTTTATTGTATTTTATATATAAAAATCTAAAAAAAACATAAATGTGTAAAACTTAATAAAAAAAAATATCTGCAACTTCAGACAATACAAAGATATCAGAATCCATCAAAAAAAGTTAGTTAATAATAATTAAAATGGAGGGGGGGAAAAAAGTAAAAATCTTCAAGCTAATGAAATTTCTGTTGTAAAAAGTAAAGTATGCACCCGTCTCTCCACTTTGTGTAACTAATACAGCCGAGGTTGAAATAAGAGCCTAAACTCCAGTAGAAGTAAAAACACACATCAGCGTGTGTCTAGGCAATAAACTTGAATGGGAGCAAAGATGAAATATGATACCTTGTAATTTATGCTAATTACCTTCTAATATTAAAAAATTAAAATCTTCAATTATAATAAAATTACGATTTTTTGATCAAAGAATGGTGCTTCAACGAGAGAGATGCAAATGCATTACCTTCATTCTGGAAACACATCGTTGATAAACTATGTATATCGTTAACTATGTATATTTTTTAAGTTTATTTTTGTTTATTGTTAACCTCACATTTTCCATAAGTTATTTATTTAACTTGTTTCAATTTAAATTTGTATTTATAATTCTCAAAAGTTAAAATTTAAATTGAATGTTCTATCTGTGGAACAGTTTCTAAAAACAGTTTTAAGAAATCTGATGATGGCTGATAGGAGTAAAAACGTTAGTAATTAAAAATTTTCTCTCAGAAAATGCATAGGTGTGATTGTAAATTTGTAACTTATTCTCTGCCGAGCACGTCCAAACTGTAAAACTATTTAATGTCGAATGTCTTTAGAGACTGTTTAGATATTTTTTTTTTAAATTAAATTTTAATTTTCTGTTAAACATCTTTAAAACCTAATTATTGTAGATTTACATCTCATATTAGAAATGTGTAAAAAGAAAATTGGAAACAAATTTATTATTATTCTAATATTGTTATATCATAAATACAAGCAGTGGCATACTCACAAGAGGGCCAATAGGCCCTGGCACCCTCCAAACAGGAAAATAAATACTAAAAAATTTTCCAAAAATCTTTTTCTTAAATAAAATTTATTTTTTATTTATACTGTATCATGTTTTCCATTTCTACACTACTTAAGAATTAGTGATTACATAAGGTGGGAATTTTATTGTATTTGCATTAAAAATTTTAGTCAAAGTCTACCTAGGTAGTCCCAATGGTTGCACTTCCGACTGTTCGTGTTCCTGACGGACTCCTCCTGGAGGGGGCCGCCAGCAGGCCGTCGAGTGTTTAACGTCACTAGTTATTGATTCACGGTAGTTCTTAAAGAAAAAAAAAGTCTACTAAAAATATAGTTAATCTAATCTAACGTAACTGCTGCCATTGGGACTACCTAGGGTAACATTAACCAAATTTTTTTGGCACTTGTACAGATTAACGGGTATGGCTATTTGAGAGGTTTACTTCCATAAAATTAACTAAATCTAGACTAATTTCAATCGAATATTTCCAAAACACGTATAATTTGTTGAAATGATTGATATAAAATATGCTATGAACAAAAAATTGTCGGAATACTTATCGAGTGTACCCGTTCGAAGACGCCATTGCTTAAGCTTGTTTTCGTCGCGGAACGGCACATTCTTCGTACGCGTCCGCTTCCAATGTGTCGGTGCTATTCGGTCACGTGACTACTCATCTCTGACGTGTTCCTGATAACTTATTCTTTTTGCGAAGAATTCACTGAACTTTAGAGACATCA